CCGATGAACACCCCTAACCAGAAATATTGATAGAATAATGTACTCATACCATCTTCTCCAGGAGCTTTGTCAGGGTGGAGAGAGAAAAGAGCTTTGTGGACCTCATCTTCTGATACTGGTTTTAAAAGAGCCAAGTTCATGTCTGTTGTGATTGTTTGGGGGATAAGAGACAGTATAGAGTCTCCATTCCAGCTGCTCTCATAGGAGAAAAGATCTGTGTAGAACTCTGAGATATGCACTTCAATGTCTCTCTGAGTGGTAATTTCAATGCCTCTTGGAGTTATAAGTCTTGAGATGGCATTCAGTTTCCTCTTGTGGAGGGTATATGCATGAAAAAATTTTGTATTGCCATCTCCTTCTTAGAGCCACCTTAACCTTGACTTTTGTTGCCAATGAAGTTCTTCAAAGGAGTGAGCTTTTGAGAGCTGTCCTTGTTTGATCCCGCTGTTCCCAGTAATCAGCTGCTTTGTTGTTTCTCAAGTGCTCCAGTTTCCTGGAAAGGATTTCAATATTCTGCTGGTTTTGGGATTTGAGCTTGGAACTCCATGTGAGTAGAGCGAATCTTGTTCTCTTGACCTTTTCTTTTAGTTTGTAGAATGGAGTTCCACCAGTGTGAGAAAGCCAAGCAGTTTCTACTGTTTCTTTGAATCCCTCCAGACCAATCCATCTCTTGTCCAAGTGGAAACAGGCTTGTCTCTTAGGCTGAGGTTGGCCCAAGTCTAATAGGAGAAGAGAGTGGTCAGAGGAGCTTTTCACCACATTAGTGATCATTGCATTAGGAAAAGACTGTCTCCATTCCATTGAACCAAATGCCCTGTCTAATTTCTCTTCAACTATACCTTCTTCATTTCTGAGGTTGCACCAGGTATACTGATAGCCCTTCATACTAAGTTCTTCCATTGCCATATTATTTATGAAGTTGTTGAATCCCATGAGACTTATGTCACTCCTAACAATGCCTCCCAATTTTTCTTCAGAGGCACACAGATCATTCCAATCTCCTATACCAAACCACCTTTGGCCTCAATTATCTTTGTCCCTCTCTAGCTCAGCCCATTGCTCAATTCTCTTTTGTTTGCAGGCATTCACTGTGGCCAATCTGTCATCAAACCCCAATTTTCTAACTACATACTTCATAAATGCACTAGACTTCTTTGTAGAAAGAAAAAAAAAAAGAAAAAAACTGGGTGGTGAGTCCTTACTGACTCTGATTTGGGAAATTGTAGAGGGCCCACCCAGCCCTCTACAATTCCACACCGCAGCTAGCATTGAGGGTTTGGGTGCCACTCTAGGCTGGCATCCCCCACCTGTTCTACCTGCTCCACCACCACTTTGAGTTTCTTGCTTGAATTAGGTGCTAAGGTGTTATTCTCCACCTGCTGAGATATGCTGATCAATTCATTTCTATGCCATTTAGATCCCTGGGCATCCTCTACCATAACTTTTGTCTCATCATTCCTTTGAAGTCTGCCTTCCCTGCTGAGAGCTCTCTTCCAGGTTTTTTGTTTGGTGCAAGAAGGGATGTGTGCAGTGATTTTTTGGTTCTTGATGGATGTGGGCATTGTTGGGGTTTGAATATCTAGTTCAATCTCCATCATTTTGCTACCTTGAGGTTGTTAATGAGAAGATGTGGCCACCTCCAAACAGATTTTGTTCCCTGTAAGAGCCAATTTGGGATAAGAAGATGGAGTGTGAGGTGTAGATTGTTCAGGCATTGAGTTTGAGGCACTAAATCCTGGGATGCTTCTGTGGAGAGATGATCCTGATATTGGACAACTTTCTTCCCTCCCTCTTGCTGGTTTGAAGAATTAGATGGTGGGGGTGTGGTTCATCATCCTGGGCCCTATCAGCGGTTGGGGAAGATCTTGAACCTGAGTTACTGATTTCAATCCAAGCTTGACCTTCTACTGCTTTCATCCAGTCTCCGAATTGCCCTTCCTTCAAGGTTTTGGATTTAATATCAGCCATCCTTATGCTACAGCCTCTATCAAGGTGTCCAATGTGCCCACAGTAGTGACATAGGTTCAATAATTTCTCGTATCTAAAACCCACTGTGACAACCTCATCATCAAGCCTTATACTAGTGCATCTGGGCAATGGCTCATTTAGGTCAATCGCAACCAACAGTCTGATGATTCTTCCACCGTGGTTACCCGAGCTAACCATGACCACATTTTTAACTTCTTTGAAAACATTACCAATTTTGAGTCCAACTTCTGTACTAAGCCAATTCAAAAGGAGATTAATCACCTGGACCCAAATGTTGATTTCCTGAAATGCAGGGTGCTTGCTGTTAAGGCCTCGTTCCCATTCTTTGAGAACGAGATACTGATTTTCGAAGCTCCAACTGATTCCACTGGCAACTCTTGTCATATCGCTTTTGCTTTGGAAGATAAACTGAAAAAAATTGTGACCCAGTTCTTTAACCTCCATTTGTTGCTGCAGTCTCCAGATATGGCTCATTGTGCGTTTAATATCAATCCAACTGGCTTTTCTATCCCCAACAACCTTGCCAAAAAGGCTGCGGTGACATTCATCAGCACTCACCTTGATATCATCATTTGCTATATTAGTCACCAAGCTCTCTTTGTTCGATAATGAGAAACCCTTGAGCAGTTTAACCAATTCCTCGTCCTGCCCTACGCAGTTTGAATCCGCCATGAAAGTATGCCCGATCGAGAGAGAAATAAGGAAGATAACTCTATGAGATCCCAAAAGAAACACAATCATGAAAGGAAATCCAGAAAATCAGAGGAAAGAAACTTCCAGCTCCCAATTTGGAGAATCGCCCTAGCTCCCAATTTGGAGAATTTTTATTTTACGTTTTGGATCTGTAAAATGTTCAAACATAAATTAAATATATCAACCATTTTTTTCTTTAAATGATAATATTAAATATACTAATACTAATCATGTGCACATGCACAGGTTACCAAAAATAAATAAATATTATATATAAAAATTATAATTAAAATAAAATTTTACTATGTATACATTTATAATTGAATTACATTAATACTTCTAGTTGGATTTTATACTTCAATAAAGAAGAACAAGAGAAATGTAGAATTTACCAAATATTAATGACTAGTATTATATGAATTTGAATATTGTATTAATAATAAACATAAAAGTTGAATTCAATTATCAACTTACATCCTTTGGTGGCAAGTGTGTTCCACCAAAAAGTCTAATATCTCCGAAGCCAGAATTCAATTATCAACTTACATCCTTTAGTGGCTATGGAGATCAAGAAACCTTCGGCTATTCAAACAAGAACTTATTCCAGACAGAACCATTGCCAATAGAGCTCATACCGAATGGCTTGAGTTCTGCCATGTGATCTCACCAAGGAACTGTGTTCCAACTTAGCTTTATGTTTGTAAGAAATTGGAGGGAAAAACGGGTGCGGTCCCACTAACATGAAGGGCACCATGAGAGGGAAAAGCCCATATGAAGCCCAAGTGGGGTTCCATCCCAAAACCAATTGGTGGAAGGAGGAGTAGCCCATTAGATTTATAAGGTGGATCTATTTTCCATGTATGAACGATGTGGGACAACTCACAAGTGATATTCTAACAATATCGGCTAGTTATTTGCTCTTCGTGTTGCTTTTCTGTTTTTAGTTTGTTGTAGTAGGTTGGTTTGTTGTTTTGCTTGCTTTTCCTTTTCAGCTTTTGGTTTGGACATTTTGTTGGTTGTGTGGTTGTAGTCCTTTGGCTTGGTTGTTGGTTGGTCTTTAGCTACATGACTCTAAGTTATTCCTAGCATCTAGCTTTAGGTTGGTTGGTTTTCTAGCACAACATTGGTGTTGCTCTCAGTCTCATTTAGGCGGTCTCGGGTTATCCCTCTTGTACATCTCTTTTTATTTATGAGAATTCTATCATTGAAAAAAAAAATCGTCTTAATAAACATATTTTTTTTAACTGTTGGCAGCTCAGTACCGTCAACATTGTAATCAGTTGATTAATCGTGTCTTTTTTTACTAGTGGTTATAAAATCTTGGTTTGCACTTGATTAAAGAAAAAAAGAGGCATTCAGTCCGTATGAAATTTAATTACTGATACAATTAGGTCCTATGGTCCACATATATTATTCACAATTGTTACTAATAATGGTCCTATGGTCCACATATATTATTCACTTAGACATGGCAAAAAACCGAGTCAGGTCACCGGGTTGGATTTTGACGACCCTGAACCGACACGGACCTAGGGTCGTGCCGGGTCCATGACCCGGCGGTCCAGACCGGGCCCGACCCGAGTTTGGACCTGACCATATAAAAAAATAAAGAAAAAATTCAAAAGCAATGTTTTTTTCCGTACAGACACGGACCCGGCCAGGACAGCCGGGTCAAAGTCGAAAAAAAACATAACCCTAGACCGGCCCGTTTGAAATCTGTACCGGGACCGGACCCGTGGTCATGGGTTTGTTCGTGTCGGGTCCGTGTCGGGTCCGGTCCTGGTCGGCGGGCTGGGTGACCCGTCACCATGTCTATTCACACTTGTTACTAATAATAGTCAGGTGACAGTCAACTATTGCATACTTATTCGTTACATAAGATATAAGATCACGAGTCACAGTTCGTTTAGGCTTGTTCTGTCACATTCGCTTGAATTTATTTAGTTCATTAGCTATCGGTAAAATAGTGAATTTGGACAATGTATTGCTTAAAAATCTGAAGGGAGAGATGAACCAGTGGATAGATGAACGATGAACCGTAAGCACTATCGCAACTCACTAATTCATAATAGCAACAGAGAAATCATCATGACATATATAATGACTTGGATCATCACACATGTACGTACGGTGACCCATAGAAAAACTGAAGTCCAATTTTATTACATATATACAAACTGCTACAACTTCATTTACAGTGCCTGTTACCACCCTCGGCCATTAGTATATTCACAATACACAACCCAAAAAAACAAAGGCAGACGAACACACAATAACTGCATACATTGTTAAAACACACAGCAAAACAGCTTCCAAACTCAGTCGACCTCCTCAATCTTAGGCCCCGTACCACCACCACCACCACCACTCCCACTTCCACTCCCCGACCCACCGCCACGAACATCCTCGTCCATCCCACCACCACCACCCTGATACATCTTGGATATGATCGGGTTACATATTCCCTCCATCTCCTTCAGTTTATCCTCCAGCTCGTCCACCTCCGCCAGCTGATTCCGGTCCAGCCACTCCACTGTCTCCTCCACCGCCTTCTCTATCTTCTCTTTATCC